GAAAGAGTGCAGGACTTAAGGCCAGATTTATTAAGCCTGGGAGGGTAAAGTGATTACCATTCCATGCAACGATACTTGAGGATACTACAGGGAAAACCTCCACCATTCCCTCTACATCCCGAACCCAGGTCTCTCCAGAGAGGACCAAACAGCAGCGCCCCTTAAGAAGAGTGGAAACACCTGGACAGCCAGGACTGTTAACTAGCAACTCAGTGAAATAACACTTCCCATTCCAGGCAAAAGCAACATAAGGAACTCTTCCTCCAGCTGTTTTCACTGAGTCAATAAAGAGACTAAAGCAATTATCAGAGGAAGTTTGGAAAGCCTCAATTATATATGAAACAGATGTAGGTATCCAAAACTTTTTAAAAAATGGTGTCAGATCCATCTTGATTTGCTGTCTGGTGGTACTGTCACTTGAGTACTTGTCATATCTCTCTTAGCCTCCTTGGAGGCAGCAACCATGTCTTAATCACCTTTGTATGCCCTTTAGTGCCTAACAGTGCCTGGCACATTGTTGGTACTCGGTAGACATCTGATGAATCTAGTTGAACATAAATGGGTAGGCAACCAAGCCTAAAACCCTTTTCAAGTAAAGAAACTGGGTTTAGAGCATGCAAAGAAATGTTTGAAACCCACCTGCTCTGGGCTTTACTCAAGCTGACTGGAGAAGGTTACTTCTCTTACTGCAGCCAGTCTGGTGCATTTCCACTCTCCCTTCTCGGTGGTCAAACCGGCCTGACATTAGTCCTTCCCTCTCTCTCCAGCCCAATATGAAGACGTGTACACCTGGAGAAGCAGTGCTTCAAAAATTTCTCTATCATCATATGGTGAAATGGTGAAGCTTCTGAGGTATTAAGCAATCCATCATAACGTTTGTGACCGGTTAACTTTAATTTGTCAAAATAAATCTGCAGTTTTTGCATGTTAGTAATACAGTGCTGGTATTGACAGGAAAAATCGTCCATCTGCTTACATAGAAACCTTCGTTTAGGAGCACACCTTAGGAGGGAAATGGATACACAATAAAAGGCAAATGTAGGCCAAGCAGCGAGCCCTAGAGCGTAACAGGCTGGATGTCAGATTTGAGGATGATCTAATACAACTGTTTAGCTGCCAATCTGATAAAGGGGAAGCTCTCAACCAGGTTACAACCAGAAGAGAAAAACAAACTCTCTGCTTTTTTCGTGAGCGGTGGCCGTCTTGCCTTCAACACTTGGCTGAATCAGTTCATCAGCATCAAAACTCAATTCCAGTTCCAAGACAGGAGAATTTCACCACACAGCCTACTCGGCCCCTGCTTTCAGTGGCCCACTGCCACCCCCAGCCTGCCAACTCTCTCCCTCCCAGAAGAAGACACGACGTGGGTTTATTATTGCAGACAAGCTTAAGTGAATAAAGAATGCATACAAAATATCATTTTAACTGAAGTCATACAATGAAGTCTCACTCCTGTTTATTATACAATGAATTGATAAAGCAATCATTCCTAGTATATATCTTTTTTTTTTTTTTTTTTAAAGAACTAATACTTTTAGGGTTCTGACGACCACACTCTAGCCTGGGGGTAGGGTCCACACCTGCCCCCACTGAGGACTGCTCCTTGGGCCATTGTGGAGGAAGCCGGGGCCATCTCAATCATGGAGGATTGTGATTGCCAGCCCAGCCAGAGAGAGACGACAGGTCCCAGCAGGCAGAGCCAAAACTCGGTCCTGGGGCTGCATGCCAGGAAACGTTGGCTTCCTCCAAATGTGGCCAAGACCTGCCCAATCCAGACCTCAGCAGGGCCACGCATGGGCCTTCCGTACACGAGTCCTTCCAGTAGTCCACACATAATGCTCTACATATTAAAAACAAACCATTTTGGTACTGTGGATAGGAACAGTTGGAACAAAGTCATAGCTACATATTTTTCTCTACATTTTGTTTATTGAGACAAACTAATTAAAAGGCACAAACATAGGGCATGTTTACATGGACATTATAACAAACATATACATTAAAAGTGTAGGAATGTGTTGCCTTCCTGCTAAACAGAAAGTTCCTAAGCTTTTATATATACAAAAGTTGTACAATTTAATGTCCTAAAGTACAAAAGATCATTTATAAAATTATTTTACACTAAGTACTATTTATTTTATTTTTTTACTACGTAGTTCAACCCCCTCGAACTGTTTTGTATAATGACACACAGATACCTGTCCCTGATGTAGGAAGTCTGCCTCAGATGCAAGGTATTTTGATGCTTGAACTGACACAGTGGGGTATAAATGGAAGTCATCCAGTTTGATAGTCAGTCCTGCAAACATTCTGCAAGATTAACACAACTAATGTCCATTTCTCTTAACTGCAAGATTAAAAAAAGGAAAAAACCAAAAACATATTGCAACTTAAAAAAAAATCATCACAGCGCCTTGGTTTTAGTAACTTTTTTTTCAAAACACAATGCTTTAAAAACATTAATGTGTGACATGATGGTGTAAAGAGTATCTGTCTCCCTAGCTTTTGGTTTCTACTTTGTACTATGTACAGAGATAAAACATCCTGCTAAGAAATAAAAAGCACATGTCTTAACGTGCACAATCATTGCTGGATTTCTGCAGGGAGTGCAGACAGCTGTCTCCCTGAAAACCCGACAAAGCTGATACAAGTGTTTTCTCAAAGAAAAAAAAGTGATGTCCATATTTACAAAGTTGAACAAATCTGCACAATGCTTAAGAAACAGAAGGAGAAATCAAAAAAAAAAAGATACACTGCTTGTTCTGAAGGGGCATACTACCTAGTTAGTGGTTAGAATAAAAACTGTATACAATTTAATATAAGACGTAAACTCTAGTGAGCAACTAACACACCTTTCCCTGTTGAAATATCAACAGGCTCTGATTGGGAGAGAGAGGGGCATATCACATCCCAGTGCCTCCAGCGTCTTCCAATTAAAGCAATATACTTTAACTGTTCCAAAGTACTCCTCGACCCCTGAATAGGAGTCCCCTTGGCCTCCGTTTGTTAGGAGTCTGCCTGTCCGCACACTTGACTTCTCCTCTGTCAGCTGCGGCCTTCTCTTACCAAAACACAATGTGTATATTTTGTTTGTTTGTTTTTTAAAATTTTTTTAAAAAGTCAACTACAATGCTATATTCCATCAGGATTAGTATGCTGAGCAATATTTACATCTCCAAATATCAGGTCACAATCCCTATTATATGTTGAAGATAGAATGATAAATTATCATATGCTTTGCATATCAGAGCTGGTATCACCTTTCCCATAGGGAATGCTGCCTGAAATTAACATATTCCCAAAGGTAAAATGCATATTCTCTGAAATGCATTTTATTATGACAATGCATGTATTTACTCATAAAAACAACAAACACAGATACATTTTACACTAGCTCTCAATCCCTGGATTCAGAACTTCAGGTTAAAATCAGCCATCCACCTTGTATATATGGGGAGAAGAGCTCTGCTAGTGTTCAGAATAAAATGATTTCTTGGGATCAAAAACAGTAATGCTGCTTTTAAATTTTGAAATGGGTTTTGCTTTTTCATGATTGGTTTTAATTCCGGCATTTCATCTTGCCAACTACTATCCTGTTTAAGCAATGCTGTCAGCTAAAAGGAATTTCTGATTAAACTGAAGTGGTCCAGTGATAAGTGACATACACACCCTACTTTGAACAATCCCAGCCAAATTGGAGAATAATGCTACTACACTATTATTAACTAATGTAATAAATCTCCCAATTTCATGGTTTACTTTTTGCTTTAATAAACTAAAAGTAAGTTGCTGGTAAATATTTACTTGAACCCATATTTTGATTTTATAATACTGTTTACCAAGGTGGTGATGTAGGCAAAGCTTGGGGTAAGAAAGGCATGCTCTCTACAGGCCTCATTGCTATATTGAGAGGGGCAGCTAACGTCATAGGCGTGGGCAGGTTCATTGGAGATGTGATCGTGACAGGGTGTGCTATATTCACTGGGGCAGTGACGGGGGTGGGGAGGTTGACTGGGGTAGTGAGTGTTAAAGGAGAGGTCATGGACAATGGACTGGTTATAGTCACAGGGTGCCCTATGTTCATTGGGCTGGTTATGTTAACTGCACTTGAAACATTTACTGGACTTCTCATGCTCATTGCAGCTGCCACTGTGACTGGGTTTGACATAGTCCCAGACGACACAGAGGACGTTATATTGAATGGAGTAGTGAGAGTCACAGGTGTCGTAGCAGCCGTGGAGGTTTGGCACAGGTTAGCAGCTTCTAAAATAAGAAGACAAAAGGGCCTTTAGACTCTCAAAACAGTGAACACAATTCAGTTTCTGAATCAACTTCTTTTAATTAAAAAGGACAAACATTTAATAAATTAAATTATAGTTTTCTACCCTGTGGTCAACAGGAAGGGAGGATCCTTCTGAGCACAAGACTGGGGGCCAGGAACCCCAGCATGAGAGCAGATCTCTTTTCTGATGCTGTGCCTTTCACAAGACTGAGGCAACTGGCTTAGCCTTGGTGCTTTTGGTTTGGAGTTTAGATTTACTTACCTACCTCACAGTGATGCTGGAAGATCAGGTAATTTCTGCAAGGCACTCTGGGGGGCAGAGATATCAAGTAGGGCTAAGAATTCTCACTACCACTTACTTCCATGTAGTTCCTCTGAATTCTAAAGACTTTCCCGGCAAGAACCAAGCACCCACAGGCCAGGCTGGAAGAGCTTGTTTACACAGAGCTGGGCAGATGGTTACACAGTAACAGATAATCAGAAAAATCTTCTCACAAGGCACACTGTAACTAGCAGAGAGAGGTATGTGTCCTCGATGCTATGTACTCTAAAGCCTTCTCAGAGGTGAAGCCACATTCTGTTAAGGTTTTAAAAATCCATTAAGTAGGGATGGATAAACAAGCTGTTTTAATATCATCTGTTTACTTCGGTCTTAGAAAAATCATTTTAGTTAAATAATCCTGTTGTTTCTGGTTGTTTCTTAGTGCTGTTTAGAGTGAACAAGTATCCCTCAGTAGGTTTATGTTCCCCTCCCCGCTCCCGTTTCTTCTTCTCTTTCTGAGGCTAACATAATCACCTACTTTATGCCTGGTGTCATTTAACTGTACGTATTCCACACACCACCAGCCATACCAAGGGGGACTAGCCAGGCTAGGAGACCCTGCAGTGAGCTGGGGGACCGTGGTCCTTGTTGTCAGCAAAGCCTGGGCACTTCTTAAGGAAAACTTCCCTCACAGGTGACACCCCTTACACCACCCCTCAACAAAATTCAGCACCACCTGCTGGTGTGTCAGAAAAATGCAGTAAGAAGGCAGATGGGGGTGCTGGCTGTGACTTGGCTGTCAAAACGGAGAAATGCATTTGAGACTAAAGATGGAGGTCTGCCCGCAGGCCACGCATGGTCAAATCACCTCAGGTGGACCCTTGAGTCAATGAGCAGCCCTTCCTCGATGAGCATGATGTAACCTTGGCATTGCTCCATACTCTATATCAGGGATTCCCAAACCTGGCTGATGATCAGAATCATTTACCTAGGGAGGCTTTTTTGAAAAAAACTGCTTCCCAGGAAATTCAATTGTGAGATTTAGATGGAACCTGGAAATCTATCTATCTAAAAAGCTGCTGAGATGATGACCTCATTGTCATCCAGGTTTGGAAACTTATATTACCTTATTTAAGCCCAATATTTAAAAGGGACATATGCTGATTCAAGGTCAGGTTTTCAGGTCAGGAGTCTCTTCTCCTCCCAGACGTGACATTTACTAACATGAACACAGAAGTTTCTAACATCACCGGTCGTTTCCAAAGAGATTCATGCAACAAATGGGAATACAACAGCATTTTGTTTCACGCAGATCAGGAGACGAGCTGAACAACTGAGTCTTATTGTGCAAGCACACTGAAATACAATACCAAACAGAAGAGTGCAGAAGAAAAGAATGAGGGAGAAAACCGACTGGCTTTTGAGGTGATGGCAGCATGCTGAAGTATTCTCCTCCCGTTTTCACCAAATAAGCTTTCACTTACTTGGTGGGTGCGCCATCTCCCCACCTCCCCTTCGTTTTCTTTTTAATCTAACCCTATCCCTTTCTGTAACTTAAACACTTTTACTCTTACTTCTTCTCTGAGCAAAGCATCCTTCGTAATATGCTTTCAATCCACTATGCAATTATCACGGCACATACACACATATAAATTTTTCTCCCCTACCCGCCATTCTCTATCCCCTCTCTTTATCACAAAATATTTAATCAAAATAATGACAAATATTCATTTGGAAGACAGGAATAAGCAGCACCTGAGGCAAAGTGGAAAGCCTATCTGAAGTGCTGCATTCTTTTCCTCCAATGCCAGTAGATATATGGAAAAGCTATTCCTTTTATCTTTTTCCAAGTACAGGATGTTTAGAAGGGATCTGAGGAAGGGAATAGCTGCACTACATGAATGCAAAGGATGGAAGAAACTACACAGCAAAGGAATTACAGCAGAGCCTACATGCAGGGGATTCCTTATGAATTTAAAATAAAACAGTGAGTCATGACAAGGGTGGGGAAGGCAAAACGCAATTTAGGAATCTGTCCTGTGGCTGATGATACACTGACAAAATGATTTAACTGAAACGGCTCCACAGTAGTCCAGAAGCCAAAGCTACAACTACTAAGTTAAAAAACTGTGCTGAAAACTGATACTCCAACCACTTCTTTATAAGATATATACGAGAGAAAAGCAAACCATGCCCAGTTTTAGTAACAATTACAGTAAAGTCACTAACAACTGAAGTACATACATGTTAAACTAATGCCAGCCCCAGTGACAGACTGAATTAGATTAAGGGTGAGACCGAGAAAAAAGACATCAGCATTATAGAGCCTGAAATATGTAATAAATAATACAATTCAGAAAGATCACTAAAGAGCAGAAAATAACACAGTTGTAAGAAAATGAACTTATGTACACATAAGGAGATTTCATCTACCTTTAAGAGTAGGACTATTTTAGAAACACAAAAAGGAGCCTTTAATGCATGGAGGTTGACATAAAAATGAACATAAAAAGGAACTCTGAGCGTACATAGCAAAGGACCAAATTTGGCTACAAATGTGTAACAAAATTAAGTCAAAAGAAAAGAACCTGACAAGAAGTACTAAGAATTTTTATTTCCTAGTAAAAAAAACTTATTTGGAAGCTTGGAAGCTTTGTTGCTAATAACTTTACCAGGTATTTCCTAGCATACAGTATCTCCTTAAAGTGTTTCCATGAAGCTGAATTCTCTAAGCTGTGGCTGTTTTACTTTGTTACTTGGCATACTAGATGAAAACACTAGCCACGCTGTGAGCACTGGATGCCTCATCTTACCTTTCTTTCTTGCTTTGACAGCTTCTTCCCACAGTCTCAGTGTCTCTACCTGCTTCCCTGGCCAGCTCGTCACATGCTGCTGCTGCTGCTGCTGCTGCTGCTTCTGGCTGCTGGTCTCTTCACTCATGCACGCTGCTCCAAAGACAAAGACAGAAATGCTATATTTCCCTGGAAAAAGTGTGGCTATTTTTTCAAAATCCGAACTTAGATACTGACTCCTCATGCCTCTATGATCTTTATCATTTGACCTGATAGTTTTCTACTATAGTACATCTTTTGTGCTGCTGTGTCTCTACTGGTCAAAATAGATAAATTTTAAAACTCCAGAGAGCTAGGGAAAACCAACATAAAAGAATTCTTTGCTACATTAAAAAGCAAGTATCTTTTAGAATGGAACTTGGGTAATATTAGCATGGAATTAATGCTCATCAAAATATGTAACATACTTCGTTACCTGACCACAACGATGTACATTAAAAGTAAATTTCTGTAAAGTTAACAAAGTTTGACATGCTAGATAATAAACCCAATGTACTTACAAAGAAGCAAAAACGAATGAGATTGAAACACATTAACCATACTTTCCCATTCACTTTTGGCCACCTATTCTGAGAATCTGATGTTTCTGCTGCATGAAGTACATATATAATAGAATACAGAATTAGGAAAACACTTTCTTCTGGTGGTTAGGGAGATCTTAGAAAAAAGCCTGGGTAAAGGCAAGTATTGAATTTTATCCACAAGTCCCTGGAATATTCTATCTTTTCAACTCTGAATTTAAGGTAAGCAAAGCATTTAAACATTCAAATGGGTACGCTATCCCTTTTCTCTATAGATTTGGGTTTGAGAAGTAAAATTATGTAACACTGCTTTTGTCTTTAGGTTATGAAGGACATGTTATTAATACTATCAGGAGTTAGGGGGCACTCGTGCCTGAGAATCTTCCTAACATTAAATAACAACAGTTAAAATTGCCTGGGCATAAGATGCAGCTTCCTAGTATGGCTTCTGCTGCCACAATCCTAACACACTAAAGCTTTTTATTCAAACCCCACAGAAGAAGGGACACACTGAAAAACAGCTGCAGGGAAATTGTGCTCTTCTAACATGGACGTTATTAGTAGACAGTACAGAATTAAAAGCAAAATAAGTGGAGAGTTTATCATTGTTGCCTGTATACATGTACGCAAAGTGTATTTCCAACACTAATATACACCGTCCACTGATGCGTGTTTGCATACTTTAGCAACAGGAGGAAACAAGTAAGGTGAACATTAATATAGTCCTGAGAACACAGGTGAAAATATCTTCAATATATTATAAAAAAAAAAATCTAGATTCCATCAATCTGAAACGCAAAAGAAATATAATTTGGGCTTCCCTGGTGGCGCACCGGTTGAGAGTCCACCTGCCGATGCAGGGGACAGGGGTTCGTGCCCCAGTCCGGGAAGATCCCACATGCCGCGGAGCGGCTGGGCCCGTGAGCCATGGCCGCTGAGCCTGCGCATCCGGAGCCTGTGCTCCCCAACGGGAGAGGCCACAACAGTGAGAGGCCCGCGTACCGCAAAAAAAAAAAAAAAGAAAGAAAGAAAGAAAGAAACATAATTTGAAGTGTCACCTACTTTTACTGATGCCTTGTTTACATGTATTACAGTTGATACTTTGGCTCTGCCCGTGTGTCTTTAAGTGGCTGGTGATGTATGCTGCGCTCAGGAGCTTCCCGCAGATGTTACAGGATACCTTGCCTTCGTGGCGTACCATGTGTGTCCGCAGTCTGTCTTTGGTGGCAAAGGCAGCAGTGCACGTCTGCATGAGGGAGGAAAACTTTTTTTAAATATAGACTATCCTGTTCTACTCATTTTAAAGTACGTTATATTCTAGGTATTACCCTACTCATGTCAGCAAGCAGACTGAGTTAGCTGAATTTTAACTGCATGTGTTACCTAGAATTGTACTCATGATAAAAACCTGGTGAATTTTAGACTCTTACATTTTGAGGGGAAGAAAAAAATATCAACAGAGTAGTGAAAAGATGTGAGCTGTAGTCAGTTAAACCCGGATTTAAATCCAGCTCCCTGACTCACTAAACAATGTAATACTCAGCAAGTTAGCTAACCTATCTGAATTTATTTCATCTGTAAAATGAAAATAATACCTACCTCACAAAATTACTGGTGGATTAAGAGCCTGGCCCAAGGCCTCATGGCAGGTAATCACTCAATGACACTAGCTTCCTTCCTCCAATTGGATTTTTCTTAGAATTCGAATCACTTACTTAATAAAATCAGTCATTAACAAAATTTAACTGAAAGGAGCACAAAAAGACTTCCAGCAAAAAACCAGAATTACTGACGCCTAACACGGTCATTTCATTTAGCAAGATTCTTAACCTTTTCATTACCACAACTTATGTCATTAGAGAATGCTCCAATTTGGCGATAGCAGACAAAAATCCAGTAAGTGGTAACATTTGGGAGAAAATTCATATTTTCTTCGATTATGGTTAAAACAACCTCAATCATCAGCCCAGAAGTTAATTTAAAACACTTCATTCATTTATTCTTTTCAAATAAACAACGACCTTTGCAAGACAATAAATTTTTTTTTCTTATAACAATAAATACTGTTGCCCAAGGAAAATGAAATGTAGCTTAACAAAAACATTTACATTTTTAAATGATCTTGCCTCACAGAAATAGAAGCTGTCATTTATATTTTATAAAACCCGAATTCAAATGGACCACGTTTACTCAAGTCAGTGATTTTACGACTATTCAAGTAAGGTGAGATTTGACTGGCTCAGACCTTCTGGATAATGTGCATTAAGTGCTACACTAAGGATAAGTCATTTTAACTCTTACTTGGCATTTGAAGGGTCTTTCTGTTGAATGGACATGTTTTACGTGACAGCTTAAGTGGTCAGGCCTGTGAAAGAGAGAGTTTCAACAGAAGATGTAATGGAACACACATAGAGAAATGCTACTTATTGTGATGTTTACATGCTTGGCAGACATGGGTGGGGGACATTTTAAAGAAAGACAGCAGAATTACCAACTCCCCCACCCCCCAGTGCAAGCCTCCTTACCTCTCTTACCATAAACAAAAGTCTTAGTCCTTTACCTGTTAATTTTCTTTCCTAGTCAACATCAAATCATATTAGGTCTTGATTCTTTACAATTACAAAATACCCAAAGTTTAGTCCTAACACTTGCCAGAGACAACTGCTACTACATTAACTTTAAAAGCCTTTAAAAATGAAAATTAGTGAAATGTTAGTAACCACAGAAAAATGGAAAAAAACGTTCTCTTAAAAGTTTTAAGAGATTCCAAGGTCATCCCAACTTCCAGGTTATGTTTCTTTGATTTGTGCAGTGAATCTCATGTCCAGACACCCAAATGAATTGACAACTAATGGTTTCGCAGTGATAAGAAGTACTGATGTACCGAAAGAAGGCCTGAGTCCACCAAGGCACTTCTTAAATGAAATAAGTTAATCACTATGTCACCACTTGTCAGCCACACCAAACTGGAATTAGACCTGGAGGTGTAATACTTTATCTGTCACCAATCTCCTAATAACACAGGCCTGCAAATATCTATTCTCACATCAACCTTCTAGATCACAGAGATTGTACTGATACCGTAATGAAAAAAAAAAGCAAAGCAAAATGCAGTACCTCGAGAAGCCTTTCCCACAAACACTGCAAGTATAGGGTTTGGTGATGCCTCCTTCGTGAGACCTCACATGGTAAGTCATCCGGTCCTTCCTCTTGAAGCGCTGATTACAAATAGGACACTCGAAGGGCTTTTCGTCCGAATGGGAGAGCTTGTGCCGATTGAGGTGGTACACATCTCGGAAGGCCTTCCCACACATCTCACAAGCATGGTTCTTCTTGACAGGCTTACTGGGTTTCTTGACAGACTGCGTCACGGGCATAGCTGTGGTGCTGGCACTGCTGCTGGGGTTGGTGCCCGAGGAAGATGTAGTGACTGTTGACAAGATGCCTGCAATGGTTGAGACCAACGAAGTTCGGCTGCTGTCCCCAGCGATGGTGGAGATAAGGGGAACCACCGTGGTGGGGGTTTTCTTTGGCCGGGACACCAACTTGATGCCTGTGTGGCAGGACTCGTGGCGCCTCAGGTGATAGCTGTCCCTGAAAGCTTTACTGCAGTAAGTGCACACAAAGGAAGTTTTGGGTTTTTCTTTTTTAATCCCAATGGCATCCTTTAATGTTTCTGGAGCAGCCTGAGGTTTCTGAGTTATTGGTATTGGAAGCAATGGTTTCTGATCAGGGGGCTCCACAGCAGAGCTCAGGAGGGGCAGCAAGCTGTTCTGTGCTGCCTGCTGCTGGTGATGGGAGGCTTCGTGGGCCTAAAACCAAACATTTACACTTCAGAAATTCAGCCTCTCACAATGACCTTCAAAATTCAACATGCTTCAGACAATAGAGACCAGAAGAAACAATCAAGGAGCCTGTAAGCTACACTCTGCAGCAGAGATCCAGCAACCACCTAGCTACTCTCAGAGCTCCCAATACAAAGCATTATAATCACTGCACAGACACAAAACTTTTGCGAGTAAGTTGCTGACAGTGATCTTGCTTTCAAACAGCTGACTAAACTACACACCACCCTGGTTCATAAGAGACATACCAGCTGATGAAATGAGTCTGCATTAGTCTGTCAGTGCTGAGACCAAGTTTAAATAACTTGTCAAAAAAATTACATTCCAGACTTAACTATTTAACAGTACCTTCCTGCAGTAATCCACAAGCCACACACTCACACATACACATATAGACATGTAATCATCTACTTGTCTATTTTACCTAGGAAAATAGATGTCTCTCCCCTTCCATCAGAAACTCTCAGTGACTGAGGAAAGAGGCTGTTGCTAAGTAATACAAGGAATCTAGGTCTCTGAATACATATGCTAGTGGTTAAGTTTACTTTTAAAGTTTCCACTTAACTCTACTAAAAGATTTGGTTGAAATGGAATCTGCTATTAATCATCCTGGAAGGCATCTGTGAAGGCAGCCCCCAGCAAACACCTGCCAATTGTTTCTCAGTTCATTTAATCTTACAGTAGAAGTCTGCATCCTTTAGCAACACTAGTTGTTCAAACCCTAAACTCAGACTAATAAGAGAAAACAAACTATAAATAATTTATATTCCTTTCATTTTCATCTTCTTCTAGCAGTTGTAGGGCTAGTTAAAGTATTGGACATTTGCTGTTATAAAGTGCTTTTCCACTCCAAAACTGGGAGCTGGACACTGTTTGGAAATTTTCTTTAGCTGCACTGAAACCAAAATTTCATTGTGGGTCAGGTTCTTGGTATTTATGAGTAGTTACTCACTTGGTTTTGATTCTTCCAAAATTCTCCATACCTCTATACTGATAAACATTTAGGAAATGATGGGAAAAAATTCCTGAAATAGTTCTTCCTAATATGTTGTATTTGATCAACATTATTTTTGAAACTCTTGACAGTGAGCTCGAGCCCCTATGCTTGAGTTTTGTCATCCTAAAAGGATACATGCGCTCAGAGGTAAGAGTTCCAAATATTTTAAGCATACAGTGTCCTAGGAAGGGCCCATCCCATCATCTCAGACACTCTAGACACTTATTTACCCTTTTCACTCTATAATCTAAGTTCTACATTACACTCCATTAAGTAAAAAAATATGGAGACACACAGACACACTCACACAGAGCTCCTCTCCTGACGAATAAGAACACCTACCACACACAGCTCCATGTTTACTTGATAGCAGCACAACAGCTAAGCCTAGAACCAGACTTCCCTAAATCATCAGGAGGTGTCATATCCAGAGTTAACCACTTTCAATTTAACAATTTTGACTGAATCTTCCTTTGAGTCCTGGAAGTACTCACAGAAATTGTGTGCTTACTTATGAGTATCTTTCTGGACTTAGTGCTCATACTGAGTCCACTTTTAATTTAATTTATGGAGCTCCTGTAATTGTCAGGGTCTACCCAAGTGACTTTAGTAAAAACTTTATAGAATTTGGACTCTAATCTTACCCCCTTTCCAACCTGGCTGTAGGATGCCCAAGCTTCCGTACAGTATACAAACGGTTAATAGCTGAAGATAGCTCAAGATATACAATTTCAAAGGCTAACAGATCAGATAATAGGGAAAGCAAATCTTCTGGACAAAGTTCAGACTTATAGTGTTTAGAGGTATTTTTCAATTTTAAACAACCATTAGTTCGATGGAGTACTAAAAGCACTTACTGCCGTTTTACCAATTCAGATGTCTGTGGCAACATAAAGTATTTTTACAGCATTGCTGAAGCTCACTCTCACAGGAGGGTCACACCAGGTCCCTGCTTCTCGGGTGAAATGCTGTAGAATGCCTCGCCCACTACGGGAATCACTCTCTGAGGATTCCTAGGATCCCCACACTTCTATATGAATCCTTCTAAGAGGGGAACTGGGTTTCCCCAACTTGTTCTCTGAGGGAGAGACAGAGTAAAATAACAACCATGGCCTGCCTTCAGTTAAGTGATTTTTAAAAATATATAACTTCTGGGTAGACTTTTATTTGACTAGCATCATCAAACCAAAGTTTTAATTTTATCTCCCGTCTCTTTCAACTGCAAGGCTTTTTTAACCCTGTCCAAGCTTTCCTCTTCTGGGGCTGGCAAAAAAACAAAACAGAAATGTTATTTCATCACCCAGGGTGGTAGGATATGGCACCATGAAATCTCCAGTGCCAGAGGGTAAAAGATTTTGTACTGAAGGAAACTGGCATCAGTGAGTCATATCTTGAATGTCCTGTTAGGAGAATCATCCATCAAACACTTTAACAGATATGGGGTTCACTTTCCACCAGGTTATTTGGAAAGCAAGCAGGTATTAAATTGTTTTAAAATATAAATTCAACAGGATGCTCCAGGAAACAAATCAGAGAGTTTAACTCTCCATTTCCCCAGTGAAAATTACTTAAAACTGGAACTGAGTAGGTCTATTCATACCTTTCCAGAGAAAAGACTGAAATATTCTCTTTACCCATTCAACTGTCCTCGGCTCTAAATTATAAGTTTTCCAACAATTTTCACTGCACACATTGCCAAGCCCAGGATCAAATATTAGCTTTCACACTTCTCCATCAGGTGGAAAAAAAGATTTTAATAGCTGAAAAAAATTAAATAATATAAAATCTAATTAAAAAGTTGATCATTAAATGCTTGGCATTTGCTTTCCCCAGGAAAATAATAATAAAAGTATTCCAAAAGATTTTTCAACTAGTTTTCCAAAAATTAGTTACGGGGTTTTCCTTTACATAAAGGATTCTCTTTTTTTTTTCAGTCTCCATTGAGAGCACGTTTAATATGGTAAATCTAAATCATTCCTCATGTGAAAAATCACTGCAGTGGCCCATTAATCCCATATTTTAAAATGAACATTTGAAAGCTTTTTTTAGAGAGGGCATTTGCCACCTTTACACCAACCTGGATGCAAGCTAGTTATATATCATTTTTTTTCCAATGCATTTTTAAGTTGACTTATCACATTATCAAGCTCATCAAAGCACTTGTTAAAACAATACTAGATCACAATAAGGGCCAAGTTAGTGAATTCCGTAATTTTGGGTATGTTCAATTTTAAGAAGCCCGAATATATTTTAATTACTTAAAAATCAAATTACTCACATTCGAAAGAATATGTCTTAGAACAATAAACCATCTCTACACAGTAGGCACTGTTTGAATTATCCAGTTCCTTATATTAACTCCACTGGGATGGGTCCAGTGGCTGGGAGGATTTTTTTTGAAAATTCTGCAACCGTTCCTGGTTAGTTCCAAAAGGTCTCAAGCGCCCTAGCTACGCATTTGGGATTTCACGAAGTTATTCAGAGAAGGAAAATAACTCAGAGAGGCGGGAAGAACGCACTTCAAGTGACGAGCTTCCTAACCTCCGGTTCCTAAGTTTCCCCGTGAGCTCATTACTACTGCCCATTAAGTGCTTCGTTTTCAAACAGAAACGAAGCGGGGAAAAAATAAGTTCTAGGTCTTCCAAATAGGGCTCCCCACCTCAGATGCGCGGGCAAGAAGGTTGCCAATGCATCGGCTACAGTCACCTTCAAGTTTCTTGTAAAAAGTGAAGACCAACACCCCACGAATGACTCATCTGGGGGCTCTGTAAGCGGACTTTGCTCTCTCCACTGGCCGTCTCCCCCACTTGGTTGGAGGAAACGCTAAAGGTGGGACGAGAGAGAAACGCGCCCCAGCAGAAGGTGGGGCCTCCCGGAGTCCCGGGCCCCCGCCCCCCCACCCCCGGCCGGGGGATTCCCCGGGCTGAATGGCACGGCGGGAGAGCTGGACAGAGGGAGAGGGTGTCAGCTGCCAAGGCTCGGCACTGGCTTGGGAATGAAAACACGTAAATCCAACGAAAAAGTTTGGGGAGGGGATACACGTTTACAACACCCCCCAACTGGGTAAACATGAGGGGGGTGGCGGGAAGGGGGAGTGGCGGGGAGCCCAAGGATACCCGCTATTCGCGGGGACTCGAGCGGGGGGGCTTGTCAGAAAGTCAACATACACACACAAAAAGACGACAGGGAGGTGAAAAGAAGGGAGAGCGAGCGAAAAGATGGATGAAGTGGGGCGGGGGAGTGAGCAGGACCCAGGGACCCCCCTCACCCCACGGTGCGGGCCCGGGCCCGGCGCGCCGTGGCCGAGCGGACCGCGCTATCCAGCGGCCCGGCGCCCTCCTCTCTCTGGGCCGCGGCTGGTGACAGCGACCGGCCTCCTCCCTTCCCCTTCAGGGCGGGAGGGAAGGGTGTGTGTATGTGTGTGTGTGTGTGCGTGTGTGTTTGTGTGCTGGGGGGGGGACCGGGGGTCACCCCGAGGCCTGCTCTCTTCCCCGCACCCCGTGAGGCCGCCTCCTTTCACCTCAGCAGCCCCGCTCCGCCGAGGCGGGCGGGCGGAAAAACAAAGGGGGATTAAGGCCGGGCCGGAGAGCGGAGCCGGGAGGGAGGGGAGGAGGAGCGCCCGCCCGCCCGCCAGCCCCGGGCCCGGCCCCCCTGTCCCCCCCGTGTCCCCCCCGGGGGGGCCCCCCGTACCTGGAACAGGAACGCGGTCCAGTTGGCCTCCATGGCTGCAGCGGCCGACCCCCCTCCTCCCCACTCCCCCCGCTCGGGGAGCCTCCTCAGGCGGAGGAGGCGACAACAAAGCGGCGGCGGCGGCGGCGGCAGCGGCAGCGGCAGCGGCGGCTCCTCAACATGGCAGCGCCGAGCGCGGCCACTTCCGGTAACCTCCGGGACGCACCACCGCCGCGGCGAGCGCGGGCGGGGGGGGAGCCCCGACCCGGCCGCCGCCGCCCCCAGTGGCCCGAACCCCTCCCGGGCGTCCCCGCGGCCCGCTCGCCGCCTCGGAGCTCAGCCAGTGCCCGCGGGCGGTGGGGTCAGGGCCCCCGCAGGGGGGCTGGGGTGGGGCCGGGGGCGGGGATGGGGCGCGGCGTCCCCCCCCGCGGGGGTGTGTGGTGCTGCGGTCCGTGGCTCAGGCAGCTGGAACAGGGGGAGCTCAGGAGAGAAGATGGAGGACGCCAGGGTCTGGCGCTGGCTCGCTGGGCACGGCCGGGCCGGCTCCCGTGACTCAAATCCGGTGCCCGGCAGCATCGCGTCCCTCTCAGGCCCTCAGCGGAAGGCAACAGGCCACGGTGGCCCCCGGGCTCTTCAGTCCCTTTCGCGCAGCACAGCCCCTACCTCCAAACTGGGGGAAGCCCCTTCGACTTGGCGTGTCTTTCCCCTCTGGTATTTCATTCCAGCGAAACCTTCCGCACTCTTGCTGGATACGCATCTACCTCTCAGTGGCCTTCCAACTCAAGCAGGGAATCCCACTGGGGTGCAGCCTCAGATCCTCCCTGTGCGGAGGGAAACACTTCCCACGCGTAGAGGTGTCATTACTGGGTTATTCTTGGGTGAAGGGCTGAGCTTCCCCATCCTCTTCTTAACTCCAGATATGATGTGAAATTCTACCGAACACCCCCCTCTCCCGCCAACAAAAATATTTTTTTTAATTAAAGAGAAAGTACAGACAAAAAATTGTTTTAGTGCTTTAGTACAGTCTACTTCCTCACCCCCCAAAACAAGAATCGAACTTCTGGTTGGACAGCGTCAGTTGTCACTGAGGTGACCCCAGCCTCTGTTTGCAGTTCCAAGTCTTCCGTGTAGGCGTCACTGCTACTGGAACTTTGTATGATGATGCCCTGAACATTTTCTATCAAAGACAAGCTGTTATTAAACAAGTGCCTCCAGTCCAAGAAGTCTCCTGTGGCGGGAAATGAGGAGGCAGCCTCTATCAGTGATATTTTTGTAAACTCTGGCTTTAAAAAATTCCACAGATGGTCACATTATTTCAAGACTTCAACCTCTTTCATAACCGACTGTCTCTTATCTCATTCCCTCCATTTATTCCTCTTCAATCACATTCTAATCAAGGTCACCATCTCCAACTTCCCCCATACATACACAATAAAAAATAATATGGTTGAAGAATTCTATTGGTAAAAGAAACTGAAGAGGTATAGTAATTTGACAGTCTGTGTTTTCTTTCCATCGACTACACATATATACCCCCTTCCCACACTTTCCTTCCCTCAGTCACCAGAATGAAGGGGCTGGCAAACGTTGGTCTGGTTCCTTTTAGAGTTGATTCCCTACTGGACACTGCCTGGAGGCCTTGGGAACGAATGAGAAGTTCTGCAGTTTGGATCAGTGGCAGAAGCAGGTAACACATCAGGGAACCAGTCAGCCTAAGACAGGAGGGGACAGAAAATGATGAATAGTTTCTGATTACATTCCTCAGCTAAACTGCTACAGTGGCCCCTATGTCTCCTATAAATGTCCATTAGTCTCTTTTGGACAGAAATAAAATGGTTCAGGAAGCCTAAGTTTATATATACATACAAGATAAGGAGAGAACTAAGATGTAAACCTAAGGAATCAACTAGGTAAACTAAAACCTTTTTGCTCTGACCTCGGACACTTCGTATTCTTTTGTTTTCATTCAATGAATGCACCTTCTTTCCTGTTTTAACGCATTCACTTCGAGGTCTCTGTAATACATCTCCTCAGTCTTTTCCCTTCCCTATATAGCCTCTCCTACTTTGCTGCCTTTCAAAATGTGGTGAAAATGAAGTTTCAGGATTATAAGACTAGTACTTGATGAAGACCATTTTTCTACTGACAATATTGCCGCACTCTCTTGAACTTCTTTTCCCAGGATCTAGAAAACCTTTCTCTAGCAATCCTTCTCACAACCTCTGGAGAGGGGTCTCCCCACTACCACAAAGTAGAGGTCAAGTAAAAACAGGCCAGTTCTCATTACTGAACAGCTGGGATTCAGAAGTATCACTTTTCTTGAGGTAAACAGCTAATTTTTATCTCTATCCATGAGATGAAACCAGAATTCCTGATTGCTCCGAATTTTCTTTCCCATTAAAAATAAAAATTAACAATCTTTTAAATTCAGATGAAATTTTAAATCTTAGGATATTTTCCAGAGAAAATATCCAAAAGTTTGGAATGAGTACTCAAAGACAATCAGCTCCAACTGTTTTGAGGAATACAATGAAATTAGGAAGGTCAAAGATTCCATTCTTAGGACAGAAAAAATCCTTAACCACAAACAAAATGAACCCCTCCTCAAGCCTGCTTCCACAGACTATACACTAGCAATGTCTGAAGACAATAAATCCATACTGATTATTGTAAACAACTTTCAGTGAGTGAATCAATGGTGTTACCTCCAGTTATGATGTATAACTGAAATGTCTGGTATCTAAAAAATATGTGTGCCTACATCCACCCAAATAAAATTCAGATTCCCTCCCCACCCTGTTCAGGTTCTTCTTTCCCATCTCCCCTGCCCCAGTGTGTATAACCTGTCACTTAATCTTTTAGGGCCTCAGTTTCCTCATCTGGAGAATGAGGACAAAATAAATACCTATCTCACAGAGACAGGACTGTGGATTAAATGAGAAATGTGTATAAAAAGCTTAGAACATTTCCTGGAATATAACAGGTGCTAAGTAGATGTTTTCATTGGTGCTACTGAGTCAGGTTCTAGATTAATTCTGGGGCTAGGAACTCTGCATAAGAGCTCTAATCCAGTTCTTACTTTCTCTCAAAGTAACAGGTTTTCCCCCATGCCCCATCCCCCTCTCCTTTGAAGAGCCCTAAGGTAAAGGGCCAAAAGGCTAAGGACACATGACAAAGGAAGAAACCTACCAAGATCAGCATTTACAAGGACAACTTTTAGCAAACATTAGAAAGTAACAGGATATTTCCTTCCCATTTTGGAAAGGATTTTAAAATCCTGTGAGTACGTTAAGGATTAAGATTAGATGCAGAATCCTAGGCATAGAAACTATCTCTGCTATTGTCAGTTACCCTTCCCAAGAAAGACTAATCAACAAACCAAAACCAAATCAAATTCAAAACTGTCCATAGAGTCTATCTAGTTAGAAGCAGCTTCAAATTGGCAATTAATGAACAAACTCTTCATGCAAGAAAGCTGGAACTGACAATGAACAGAGCTACTAGTAAAAAGCAAGACTGCAATATTTAGAAATACCAAAAACATTGGTCAGAGAGAAATGTTACCCTGCATTACCAGCCTCAGTGTAATCAGGGAGAATGGACACACACCCTACCAGACCAAAGGCAACAACTCACTCACACACACACACACACACACACACACACACACACACACACACACCCAAAAAAGAGACAAAAACAAGCCTCTCTGGGAGGAGAGCAGAAGTAATCTCCCCACCCCACCAAAGAGACAAACAAGCCTCTCTGGGAGGAGAGCAGAAGTAATCTCCCCACCCCACCTCCCCACACTAAGGGCTTAAGCCACTTGCCTGTGGCCCATGTGGCCAGAAGCTGGGTTTGTGTTTCAATTCTACCACCTAAAGTGTCATCACTAGTCTATTTCTGTTTTAACTGGTAAGGTGAGGAAGGGGAAACAACGAAGAATTTTTTTTTCCTAAATACCTATTTAAGTTCCTTGACAGCTGGAACATAGTCACAGAGAACAAAGGGACAGGGAACAAACCTACCCATTTTCCTAGTAGACATTTAGTTTAACTGGTAGTTGAGGGTCCTTAAACACTCTATTGTTTGTAAGAAGGGCCATATACCCAAGACGCCCAAAACCTATCCAAAGCCATGGAAACACATTTATCACCTTAACTCTTTTTGAAAGAAGCTGCCAGAAATCAATGCTTAACCTATCAGTTTCTTCCACAAAGCATCTGAGTAGAAATACCTTCCATTTTACAACAGAGGACATCCAACAAATAGCAAGCAAAACAGCATAGGGCACAAGAAGGAAAGAAACTAAGGTCAAATAGATAGGTCAAAAATACACCAAGTAAGAAATTCAATACAACTGGAAAACATACTCTCAGGCACCAACATTTCTCCTTTGGACACCTGTTCCTCCCTGCCCTCAGATGCCCCAAGTCCAGGGTAATGGCTGAGCTTGAAAAAAAGTTGCCACTTAACAGGTCACGCAAACTTCGTGGGCCTTAACCAACAACTACAAAGCTTAATTCAGGGCTTCCCTGGTGGCGCAGTGGTTGAGTCCGCCTGCCAATGCAGGGGACACGGTTTCGTGCCCCGGGCTGGGAAGATCCCACATGCCGCGGAGCGGCTGGGCCCGTGAGCCATGGCCGCTGAGCCTGCACGTCCAGAGCCTGTGCTCCGCAACGGGAGAGGCCACAACAGTGAGAGGCCTGTGTACCGCAAAAAAAGCTTAGTTCAGTTACATCATGCTAATAGTCAAAAACATAAATTAAATCCTTACATAAGCAGTTATTTTGGTACAAAGGAAAAGCTCTTTTCAGTGGTTATAGCCTCCACCCCAAATATATTCCACTGGTTAAAAGAGGGATGTAATGACACTAAACAGCATTGTGCTAGTAGCCAACTGCGTTACCAGAAAAATGATTCATTTGCAAAAAAAATTAAAAAATAAAAATTAGTACTTGTTAATGCCTGTCCAAATGTTCTTGTGAAGAGTGGGGCAGGGCAAAAACACACATATATCAAGTGAATACTCTTTACCCAAACTCCCAACAGAAACATCTCTTCAATTTCTTCTTCATTATCAGACTTG